TTTTAAACTCTAATATGTTTTGTTTGTTTTCCTAATTAGCTGAGCTATATGGTACTATGTGTATTGTTTGTTTTGTTATTTGTTTATCTACTTGTATTTGTTTACTTGTTTGATGTTTACTAAGTACACGTCTACTTGTTTGTTTGTTTACTAAATACAGGGGATGTCTAAAGCGGAGCAGAATCATCAATCAACATGACTGTCCCTCTCCCACAGTCATATGGTTATGTAATTAGATTGGCAATCATATAGATCGCGTTTATTTTTTATTTATTTATTTTTTTTTTTTGATGTTTTCTTACTACAGTACTAACGTTTTTTGATTTTTTTTTTTTTACAGATCTTTTTTACGTGTTCGTATAGACATTTATATCTGATATGGTGCTTTGGCGTTGTTCGTATGCATATCTTGACGTCGTGTGGTGCATTTTAGTAAGCCTTGTTTCGTCATTTCTTTGGGGGTTGTTGTGTTGTTTCTTCAGAAGTTCTTGCATCATTTCTTCGGTGATCCTTGTGTCGTTTCTTCGTTGGTTCTTGTGTTATTTCTTCAGGAGTTCTTGCATCGTTTCTTCAGGAGTTGTTGCATTGTTTATTTGGTAGTTTTTGTATCATTTCTTGCTTTGTTTTTTTAGTGATTCTTGTGTTTTTTTTTTCAGGAGTTCTTGCGTCATTTCTTCGGTGGTTCTTGCGTTGTTTCTTCGGTGGTTCTTGCATCATTTCTTTGGTGGTTCTTGCGTCGTTTCTTTGGTGGTTCTTGCGTTGTTTTTTCAGTAGTTCTTGCATCATTTCTTTGGTGGTTCTTATATTGTTTCTTCGGGGTTCTTGTGTCATCTTTTCGTAGTCTTGTATCATTTTTTTGGTGGTTCTTGTATTATTACTTTTGAGGTTCTTTGTCATTTTTTCGGTGGTTTTTGCATCATTTCTTTGGTGGTTCTTATGCTGTTGGGTCTTGTTCTTGCTGTTGGGTTATGATCTTGGTCTTACTGTTGGGTTATGGTTTTGTTGGTCTTGATTTTGTTGTTGAACTTGGTCTTGTTGATTTTTTAGAGTTTTTTTCTTTTTTTTTTTTTTAAATAATTTCTTTTTTTAATAAAAAATTTTTATAAATAAAATTTTTTTTTTAAATTGTCAATATTAATTTGATATAAAAAACATAGTAATTTTTATAACGAACTTTTTTTAACCAGGACTTAGTTTGTTTAAAAACTAATTTTCTATTTGATAGATGTTTAAAAATTTGCAAGAACTTTAATCAAAGATATCTTGGCACTCACTTAACCAAATTCGATAAAATTTTTTTTTATTCAAATTCTACAGATTTATAGAATTCAAATAAAAAAAATTTATCGAATTTGATTAGGTGGTTGTTGAGATATATTCGCTCAAAGTTTTAAAAATTTGGTGCAGCTTC